ATATATATATATATATATATATATATATCTATATCTATATCTATATCTATATCTATATCTATATCTATATATATATATATATATACACATATATATATATATATATTTATTTATTTATATATTTATATATATATATATATACTTCAGGCATTCAGTTATTTTGAAGTAGGTGTTGCCTATAGTGAAAAGTTTTCGCTCGAGGAGGATTGCTTTCATTGTCATGCCTTTGTTACGTCATTAGCCTCATCTCGTGTTAATGGTGTTGCGAGATGATTTTGGTGGGATTGGCCAGCCGTGATAAGATATCCTTATGAAGGAAAGTTAGATCTCGTCAGCCTTCTCTGGATATGGAATTTTCAAAGAGGTGCTACTGAGCGCCTTAACCTGGATGGCGCGACGTAACTGCTGGTGTCGGCAGGCGCGCCAGAGAATATAATGATCATGTCGGCATTGCGTTTCTGATACGGCACCAGCCCTCCTGAATCAAAGCCATTTTCACGCCAGCCTTTTTAGACATAGAGCTAATTTCGTACCGAATCTCAATCACACGAAAAATATCATACACTGAGCCGAGACCCATCGTTTGTCGTCGGGGTATTAAAACAGTCGATAAACTTTTTTGGAAGGCGTTCCTGTTTCGTCACGGTCCCCGTCTAATAACACCAGCATGAAAAAGCATCTCATGTTATCATAATGTCATCGTTTGCGCAGATGCATTGGGGTATTCAGATGACCATTGGGGAAAGGGCTTCACGTCAGCATTAGGTGCTCGTACCCCCCGAAGTGTCAAAGCATCTCATGTCATCATAATGTCATCGTTCGCGCAGATGCATTGGGGTGCTCAGATGACCATTGGGGAAAGGGCTTCACGTCAGCATTAGGTGCTCGTACCCCCCCCCCCCCCCGAAGTGTACAAAGCACCGGTGGCGGTACACTGACCCTTCCGCCTGCGTCCGTCTGGTTGACCGTCTGGCTGGAGCCGATCAGCCGTACTCTGTTGACCAGCTCTCTGAAGCGGGTCTCGTTCAGCTGCACACACGCCGTCATGAACTGGTCGTGGATGCTGGTCATCACCACCTTTCCCCTGCAGGGAGGGAAGAGAGTGTAAGGTCACCACCACGCGCCGTGGGTGCCGGTCACCCACACCTGACCACTGGCGACAAGATGGGGTGTGAGCTGGCCTCGCGGGGATGGCGCGACACCGCCGCGGCTGATGAGGAGATGAAGAGCGTTCTGTTCTGTCTAGCGTCGCGCGACGAAGCCTGAAAGGGTGCTGCTCAGTAGTAAGTGACGATCGTTTCGTCTTGTTTGGACATCACACTTATGTAAGCATCAGATGGGTCGCGTGTCCCGAAGTTCACAAGATATTCAGTCCAGCATTTCCTGAAGTCAAACGGACGTTCTAAGGAGTTAACTTGTTCGCCGTAAAGTAGCATACCTCTCCTACGCACGTGAATAAAAGCAAGGCACATCAATCACCCGGACAAAGAGAAAGAATAAAGCTGATGGGGCTAACGAGTCGCAAACACCAAAGACCCTATTTTGTTGAGTTTAGCTGAACTTCTGGAGACGGCTTACTAATCCCGAGCACGGCAAGCTTGACCTGTATTCACTGCCCTACAAATCTGAGCACACGACAGGCCAGTGGTTTCAGGGCCACCTCCTTGGTACTGAGCGGTCCGCACAACTTCAGGGTTGCTTGGACATGAGGTCCTAGGCTAAAGTGCATGCGTTGAGATCGTCCTCGGAGGCCGCGGCATGTCTAGCTGGGATTGGGGTTATCATACATGTTTGAGTGGGCTGAAGGGAAAATGCACATGGAACAGCGGGGCATATAATATATCTTGTAACTACTACCCACGAACATTTTATGTAGACGAAACAAGACGTGCCGTTCGTGACACACGGCTCTTGACCATCGCCCTGATTCCCCCTTTTTCATAACATGGCCTGATAAGGGGGGAGGAGGAGTTAGATGTGACCCCTGCCGTTTCCTAAAATAACAACGATAGAGCCTGGCGGAAAAGGCAGTGGATTGGTCTTAAATAGTTCTCGCTGATATATCATGAACTGGCCGCAGGTAGTTCGATTGTTGACCCCATTATGCCACAGCAAAGGTTAATTTTTTGCAAAAATTTCGCTTTTTCTGTTTTGAACCACGGAAGTTGTTCAGTGCATTTGCAAGAATTATTATGCACCTTCACTTTTGCTATTTGTTTCCATAAGGGCATGTTGCCAAAATATGAAAGCAAATCAACGTTTTACGTGCACAAATTTGGAAAACCATGCAACGTAGCGACATTAAACCTGCATAAATGGCGAGTGCCTACAATGCAGTACTTACAGACTTACATAGGCATGCTCTTTGTTCAGTTTTTAGCCTAGCTGATTTCATGTGCTTTGACAGCAGATGTATTACATAGAGCCCTGTGAATATGATAGTGTCGGCCGTTCGGCAAATTCGTCGATTGCCGCCCGCTCCAGCGTCGGCTGCTGACCGCCGTCCAGTGCTCCTAAAAAGAATGCCCCCATGACCGCGGAAAGTTTGAACACGATTACACTACATGACGGAGAAACATCTCCAGAAAACCCGAGGATCGGGGGTAGCATTAACTACCCTATGGGAAGGAAATTTGAAGCCATAAGCAGCCACTGTACAAGTGCAGGGATGAGCACAAATGTCCCGGACGCTGGTTCGAGCAACGTTGTTTGGGTGAAAAACCTTTATAAATAGTTGCGTAGCCGTTGTGATAATGAATGGATGTTTGCTGGCAAGCTTTTTATCCTTATACTTTGAATTGGTCCTCATGCTTGTAATGCCTGATGCTTGTGACAAGTGATTTGTCAGCTTTAAGGCCGGAACCTTATAAAAACTTGCAGCCAAAATTGAAAAACCGTACCGATTAAAACTGCGTCCTTTTGCAAAGATGGACTACAATATGCCACATATCCTTTAAGCATAAGGCTCCCCGTTTTAAAATCTCTGGCGTGATATGACATGTCATGAATGACATGATACCATTATGACATGATACCGGGTTGGGTCATTATTCACCCCTCACGTCACGCATCTATAACGCTACATGAACATTAGAAGTACTTAGAATATTAGACTCTACCGTCCTGACACCGAACACTCAGTGTCGTGTTAAGGACTGCTCTGAACACAGGCGGCTAAGCCGAAATGTTTCGAGACATGTACTGAGCAAAGAAAGGAAAAAAAATGCCAGTGAGTATCAGTGTCTATCATAACAACTACAGGACAATTTTTAATGTGCAGAATGTAAACAGCGTTGGTGAACCGAAGTTCCAATGACACCTTTTTCCAGCTTCAATGACACCATTTTTTCGTCCAGGGAAGGACGATGGCTACGAATTTGCTGCGATTCGAATACCTTAGGATTCACGCTGTGTTTTTTTGTTGCTAAAATTTTATTTTAAAACTGGTGTTTGTAGCCCATGATTCATTGCTACATATCACGCTACCGCGTGATCGCCTAGCTGTGCGTACATTCTCCCTAAACGCGAGTCTTCGAGTTGTTTATAAGACCGCGGTCTCGGGCGCTATGCTTCGTTACTCTTACCTAAAATATCCCTGTGCAAAGGGTACAAGAGGGTTTGTATACTATGTCCTTCCGTGCGCATTTTCTTTTAAATCCATTTACGCACGCGTGGCAAGCTCCATTCCCAGCTGGATATCCCGGGTCTTGAGAGCTGATCAAACTAGCATGCAGACATTAAAGTAGGACTATTAGTCCACGCTGCATAGTGACGTAGCTCGCTGATACGCTCGTATTTACCTGTTTGCAGAGCTCATTAACTACAAACGGGGATTTTTGTACACAAAATGTGTTTGGCTTACCTATCTGCTTCTTCTTTGATAAACCAATTGGTTGTTAAATTGAGAATATGCGGCACCTGCGGCAGGCCCTACGCTGTGTTCCTTGTGTCCAGTCTCACGGAAAAATGAATATTTCAACGTTCAAAGCCTCAGGACATTCAACCATAATCTGAGGACATTTAAAGGGATTCGCTCCTCTTTCCAGAGCTTTCGAGCAATTTAGATGTGTTACCAAAAAAGTCCCAGCATAATGATGCTGTCGTGAGACGGTCTGTAGTGATGTGTTCAGGTACGCCTAGTGTCCCGACAGTTTATATGAATATTTGTGTGCTTCCTTGGTCTACCGTTCCTTAATTTTCCAAGATGTATGGAGGAAGGGGTTCAAAGGACCAATGGGAGGCTTAAGGTATCATTGCGGTCTCTTCCCCCCCCCCCCCCCCATTAAGTGACGCCATTGGTCAGGCTGTTCCGCTACATCTGCACGCGCTGAAGGCGTGGAATAGTGCGGGTGGAAAACGTTGGCGCGATGACGAAGAAAAGAACGACGCTCAAAATAGAACGAGCTGCATGCCGGAGTGGCCTCAGTGCGGCCCCCCAAAGGTCATCACCACCAGTGACCTCAGGTGTGGTCCACCCTCACCCCTCCCCCGAACGCGACACGTCGACGGTCTCGTAACACGCCACCGCTGCTGCGGTGTCAGTGCCGCCAGCGGTGCCGAGAGTCCAATGACGTCAGTCGACTGGCGTGCGGTGCCAAGTCGCTTGACGTACTGCCATTAGATGACGTCACAGTCGTGTCACGTGATAGTCGCCTGAGCAGAGGGCGACGTCCTTCCGTTCCAGCCATGTGAGTACAGACGCCAGACAGGAATGTGGATGGCATTGTGCAAGCTGGGCTTGCGCCTTTTGGACGCGCCCTATTGCGGAGACAGCTCTGAATCGCGTTGGTCGTTGTGCAAATTACGCCAACGTGGATACGCAAGACTGAAAACTTGCTCTCGGAAATTTTATTTGAGCATAAGGTGTCAGTAACGACGTAAAAACTGTTCAAACCAAAGTTGTCTAGCTCTTGCGAGAGGAGCTATACCAAACAGGCATTTACAATCTTTACCTGTTATAGGCCTCTGTTACTGTTACTGTTACTGTTATAGGCCTCCAGCATTCACGTTGTCTGTGACCACAACTCATTTCGATCCCTGACGCCCTGGCCCATTCGATGCATCTGATGTGTGTTTAACTTTGTGAGGCACAGGCAGTTACCTTCTTTTTCATCCGCCCGGCAGCGCAAGACTCAAGAGACGTGATCCACCGGCACGAGCCGTAGGCACAATGATAAGGGATAGGTGAGAGTGATGGCGCAGTCGGGCTTGTCGCACTAGTAACAAAAACGGGTGACCTGGCTCCGTTCACCACAGTTTTCACAGGCTTATATCTTTGCAGTAGCCTAGCGCACTACTGATAAATTTCAGTAACAAGAAGCGCAGTTATATTTCGCCCACCCTGATAGGGGGATCCATGCGACCCCGCCCCGAACGTTTCCTGAGGATATCTCCCCGGCGTGTTGTAAACTCGCGACCAAAAATTTGATTGGCACTGGGGAATTCGCTGCGCGCGTTTTGGCACCAAAAACGTGTCTCTTGCATTATTGGTTTCTGCGTAACGATGGTTCATTTTGTAACCGTCGACATCAAAAAACGCTGTACGGCGGTCCACGGGCGGTGCGGGCGGCGGCGGCGGGTGGTGACCGACGGATCCGCCGACCGCTAGTGGCGGCCATTTATGGAGCATCAGCCCTGGATCACCGATGTATGTTTAGAACATACACAATTCAACGTCAAGGTACTCAAAATCAGGGTAAACGTTTGCGTTAGTTTCATGTCGCTACACGGCATAGTTTCGTATACGCCTATTGGCTTTCGCATATAATTTGGTTTTGATGTAAAATTGAACCTTGACCTGGCCCGCTGGGATGCGTTATTTACCTAGAAAAACAAACTCAGTACAAATCGCAAAATTTAGTTAATCTTGGCCTGGCAACGGCAAACGTAGGGGGAGGTGAGCAGGGGTAGGGGGAGGGGTGCATCCCATCAGTCCGTGTCATGGAAAACGGCGTATCAGGGCGATGGCTTAATGTCGTGCCGTAATATATTCATAGGATGTAGATTTATGTTGTTTGATCGGACGATATGTTTCCGCAACGTTGCAATATCACGCCGATTTCATTTTTCCATCCGATTAACACGGAAGCGTAGAATTTTTGAATCCCGAAAAAGCTGAGGGCCGCGAGGCAGGAACAGGTCGAAATCTCGGCGCCCAGTCGTCATAACGATACGAGACAAACTGACGCTGACAGAACCAAAAGCGACGTCATACAGGCAAATGCGTGAGTCAATTTGTGCAGACACGCACAATCGTACACAAGCGCTGAGTCCGCCCGTCTTGGGGCGTTTTGAAGGATGGATGCTAGATATCGACAACCAAAGCATGTAGAGACGTTAGCCCATCTGTACAGTGCGGGAGAGCGTACCGTCTACAAATCATCAAGTGGTATTACCACTCTCGAGGGGGAGTAACAGACCAATGTCTGAGTGTTTTTGTGCCTGTGCCTGATGGGTTTTTGTCACGGCGACTGCCTTACTTGTTAGACCAGTCTGCCAATGTTTGCGGGTTTTCTATGAGATACCTGCACCTGAACTGGGACAAAAATGGGTTGCAATACGCGGCAGTTTTTTTCTAAGATCAAGTCCAAACCTTTTGAATGGATGAAGTTTCTGGGATCAGAGCCTACGTTACGCAGCGCTTGTTGTTTGAGCTCTGACCCCACCATCCCACCGTATAATTCCAAGTCAATGGCAGGATTTGATAGCAAAAGGGTAATGTACCGCAATGCTCGGCACGGTCCGTCCTGCCATCTGACGTCAATTGACTCTTTGCTCGACCATTGCTGCCTGCTGTAGACATACAACTATATAGACAACAAAATAGCTGTCACACTGTTCCTTCGGGCGTCCATTTTCGTCATACCTCGGCGACTTATCCTCAAAGTCAAAGGTCATGGTCACGTTTAACGGGACACCCTGGCATTGCTTATCAAGCAACTGCAATGCAGGGGGTGCGATGTTGATGTTTGCATTCAATTCATTGCGTTCACTTTCGTCGTATCTAACCATAATTATTCAGGTGGAAGGCTTGGGTTACAGAAAATGGAGTGCCCTGGTATTTCTTCGTTTATAAACCAATGGCCACAAAATGGGCGTGCTATCAACGCTCGTAATGTCCACTTCCGCCACATTTTCGAAAAATTACCCGCAGTGGTCAAAAGGCAAGGAGTGGAAACGGGACACCGGGAGTTTTTTTGTTTTGCTTATGAGGTAATTTGAACCAAATCGGTATAATTTTGCTACTTACCTTGTCGGTTTGCGTCGCGCGTACGAAAATAACCCTTAGGTCAAGTTTTTCCGCAGCGCCCTAATGCTAGGGCACTGCGGAAAAAACTTGACGCACTGGAGGGCACCCTGGTAATGTCCGCAACTCTGGTGAAGCGGGGCATTACCAGGGTGCCCAGCTTTATATGACCTTGGCCTTGTTTGGACAACTTATGTGTGCAGTTGTAGCAATAGCAGACAGACGCTAGCATCAATATGGTATCTATTTCGTTGAAATTGCTTTCATAAACGGAGAAATGCTAATCTATCCCGTTTTCCATCATATTGGTCTTTCACCTTGAGCGTTAATGTTTTCAGTTGTGAGGAAAGCAGACATCGGTGACATTGCCATGACTCCTATTGCTTGATATAAGAAACACCAGTGTGTCCCGTTTTGCGTGATCCTGACATTTTACCTTGGGTGCACTTTTTTTCCAAATAAGATGGAATCGGACATCACAAGCGTCGATATTGCACCAGTTTCTTTTAACTGGTTCCAAAACAAAATAACAAAAAAAATGCTAGGGTTTCACGTTTTATGGCCTTGACCTTTGACGTTGCCGGATAAACTTGTTGAGGTGTGACGAAATCGGACATCACGAGCATCAACATGTTACCCATTGTGTTGCAATGACGGCATACAAGAAAAATGTCAGGGTGTAATGTCGTATATAGCCTTGATATGCTAACTTGAGTCAAGCATTGTTATTGGTTTGTCGAAAAGCATGCATAACTTTTCTGCAAATGATGCAATTTTGTTTAAACTCTTTGATAGTCCAATAAGCGTGAAAGCACCTTGTTCAGTGACGTGATAGTGGCCTTTAAACTTGAGGAATATCCCATAATATATGTTTTATTATAAAAATATTCTTTTCCATATTTTTATGTATGACGAATATGAACATAACGGGCATTAATTTTCTGCCTATTTCGTTGCAATTTTTATCTTATAAATGAAGGAAGGGTACTTTACTCTTTATGGTAAATGCAAGTGTACCTTATTTCGGAACGCTGACCTGTTATCTAAAAAGTTAGTTGTTCCGTTGTTCTGTTGTGACGAAATCGGATAGCACGAGTGCCAATATGATGTCCATTTTGTGAGATTTCTTTGTTCTGCGAATGAATGCCAGGGTACACTAAATTTGGCCTCTCAGTGGCCTGAAGACTTGCAGTCAAGTGATCCAGTAAAAGGATTGCATATTAATGTACAATTCGATGAAGTATTAATATCAATATCAATAACCGATCGGAAATATGTTGGAAATCTAAAGCCTAAGCTGAATTCAAATACGAAGACCACGCAACTTGAACGGCTTGATGCTGTGTTCTCACAGCGTGCAGATCGCGTTCCATATACGGACCGAACGAGTCGTCCTTTGGTCTGGAGCTATTTTGTATGTACCGCTACCCACATGTTACTTTAATTCGACGGGTGACGGCGCTCCACTAGTGGACCGGAAGGGTCCTGTTCTGAATCAAAAGGTTTCTGTGAGGGCCATGAGCCCCTTTTCTGGAATAGTGGCTTGTCTTGGGATAAGGCGGTCCCTTTATGGTCCGAGAAGATCCCTGTATTAATCAGAAGGCTCCTGCTCCGACTGTTTTTTATTGTGTATTTTTTATTTATATGAATTTTTATATTCATTAAAAAGAGAGCACGTACACAGCACAGTCTCTCAGCATTGAGTGCCCACTGCCGAGCAGGCCTCATTTTGTCCAGACTGGTCCCCTGAAAAACCCGCCCCATCACTCAAACTCCTCGACGCCGCCTCTGTACGGGGCTGACCTAGGTCACTTATGGCTAACGGCGTCCCTGTTCCCCACAGTCAAAAATACTTGTTGCCGCCTGTGGTAACCAGTATTCACGCAAGCCACCGCAGGCGCAAAAGCTGCATTGAATTAATCCACATTGTAAATAAACACTACCGGGCTCCGACAGTCCGTTATCGCCTCGTCCTACACCGCAGCAGACGTCTCGCTGGTTACGGCACCGGGGCAGAATAGAGCCGTGCAAATCTACAGCTAGTCGGAACGTTTACTTAAAAGGAGGGTTCCGCAGTTGTATTGGGTTTGAACTGAGGGTCACTTTGAAAATCATTCAGTGCAGAGCACAGCCCTACCCTCTATGAGACTTCAAATCCTCTTGTTTCCGAGCTTGACACCCGCGAAATTGTGCAGGCTACTTCTTGCATGCCATTTCATAGTCACCAACACATGGGTGGCGCCACAGAAACCGCACGTGAAAACGGTCACCTCATTGGCCATTTTGTGCTCTTGGCCAATACAAATATGATCATCCATTTGTTCGTGTCTGGCATACGGCAGCACGATTTCTGGCATCTCAACCAATGTAATCAATTTAGTGCAAGTTTCCAACACGAGCCACTTGTGCTACTTTTACCATTTTCCGAACTCCTGTTCTATAGCGCAGGAATTGGGGCAATCGTAAGAGTTATGGCATGAATAAGGCTGGGAATCGAATAACGTAAGAAAAGCTACATAACCAAGTGTATGAATGCAAGTAAGTAATATGAAATCACGGACAAACATGCAAGAACGCCACGAGAGTGGGCCAAATCCGAGACATGACGATATTTGGCCCCACAAAACACACTACAGCAAAAAACTGCCACCTTTGAACTTGAAGTACTGCATGTAAGCCAGCCCGTCCGCTACAGTGGCAATTATGACACGTACAGTCTGGCAGCGACTCTGACATCATTAAGACGTTCCACAACGGGATCAAACGATGACCCTCAAAGCAAACCGATAGTTACAAGCGAGCTTGTTTCGTCATATCTGATGCTTGCCTCAGTACCTTCAAATGCGGAACACCCCCTTTAACGCTGAACTGGTCATTTAGTACAGTGCTCATGGGTACTCACTGCGATGCATGACAGATGTTTCGAGACCAGATATCGGTTCAGAAGGGCGGAAGGATGGCAGTGAACTTTACTGTCATAACTTCCCGGTCATCTTGTTTTTAAGCTGGCTTTTAATGACCTATGCATGACGCAATATCATGATCACTTTATAGATGTTTAGACATACGCATCATGCCTGACATCACAATTTCACAGACTGTATACAATACTTTCATAACGCACAAGGTGTTAAAGTTTCAGATGAAGCATAGCCTGGATTTATTCTAGCAGGGGGACTAGATCGGGTCAAGACGTACCGTACCAGCCATAAGGACTTTACAAATCGTCCCTCGGTAATCGCCTCCTTTCATCGTTACCTGAGCTTTGTAAGCTCGAGATGCTATTTTGAAGCCTCGGGGCTCGTTTTGACGTGTTCGGTGCCCTGCGGGTGCCATGAACTGCCGAAAGGTACTGAGACTTTCAGCCCCACGGGCTGCTGCCACGTTCATGTGACCTATGGCTGCAAAAGTCCCCTCCCTGTGCTAAACTGACGGGACTTACCGCGGCTGCTTCTGCGTCTGTTGCGCCAGGATCTGCCGCCTCCGCTGTGGAGTCATGATGATCTTGTAGCCTTGCCGCTAGAACGGCTACCAAACGCACGACCACGGTAGTCTGGCGGAGCCGCCTGCCACTCCCCGTCGCCTGCCTCCGTCCGCTATCGCTGCTGCCACCCGCTGACGTTCGCTGCCATCCACCGCGTGCACCGCCGTCCGCTGCCGTCTCCTGCCGTCCTCCACCGTCCACCGCCGTCCACCGCCGTCCCCTACCGTCCACCGTCGTTCGCTGCCACCCGCCCACCTGCCGTTGCTCGTCTGTGGCTGCCCGGCCGGCGGCGGTGCGGTGCGCTGGCTGGGCCGAGCGCGCCTGGCCAGGTGCCACCCCCGCTCCCCTGGCTGCCCGCCCGGCTGGCACAGGCGCCGGTCGCGTGGCACGCCGGTCGCGTCGCGCGCCGGTCATATGCCCTCCATACGGGGTAGACTCGAGCCTACCTTCGCAGAGACAATCTTCGGATAATGTCGCATGGTTCAATGCCATGATTGCCCGGCAAATTTGTAATAAGGTTACTCTTACGTCCGGAGCAGACAAATTTTAGCGTATCGAGGATGGACATTTAAATCTAATGGAAACTATGAGCAAACCAGGAGTTCACTTTCGGTTCCCATGCGCCGCACATGGCCCAGATGCGTAATTTTGACAAATCAGGGGGTGAGGGTGTTTTAAATGACTGAAGCTACCCCATTTTCACCCCAGTTTGTCTAAAGATTTAACCATTTTTGTTTTATTTTGGGGAGGGCGGAGGGGGAGGATGACGGATCGCTTTTTTGGAGCCTCCCCACCAGTGAATACGAAGCTCTAGCCTTGACTGGAGTCGTAGGCTCAAGTCGGGGACGCGAGCAAATATGGTAACACTGAGCTGAAGCAGACAGGAACTGTGAGAAGCCGAGCCGAAAAGCCACAGATGTGACCGACACATCGCTCTCAGAGAAGGGCAAAAGAGGACCGTGTCGCCCGACCACGGCGGGACATTCGGGGAAAATTCGCCGTGGAATGACTATCGCCGGTCAAGCGTGCCCACCGCAAATCGCTGTTCGAAAGCACTATTGTGTGGAACGCATTTTTGGTCGACCGTTCAAATACGCTCGACGCGAGCTTATCATTCGCACAGATTCGAACAGATTTATCGTCACTGTTACCCTTCATCAGCGAATGGAACAAAGCGGTCCCAGCTGGGTTGCCGTGATTGGTTGGCTTCAGATGAAGGCGGGCATTGAACCGAGTCAGCGTCCGCTGATCGCTGAGATGCTGCGACGTTTTTTTTTTGTGGCGCGTGACGTGGACCTTGCTGCTTATGACGCAATGACTTAAGCTAGAAGCTTTTATTGATCACATGCAATCAAATGCATATCAACTATTTTGTTTCAAGGATCAGAAACAAGCTAAAAATGAACAACGACCTTTCGGCTCCAAGCCGTCTGCGGGTTGCGAACAATGTTGTCAGTAGGCCCCTATCATCCCTTCAACGATGATAGGGTCACTTATTCCAATGACCTCATTAACTCCGGTCTAAGCGCACGCACGGCGCAGCTCTCAAATTAACGTTACGGGCAACCGATGACGTCATGGGACTACGTGACTTGGCGATAAAATCACTGGATGGCATGCCTGGTACACACGGCCTTGGTTGTAAGCCTTTTCCCTGTTCCTTCTAACTAATTTTCTAACTTATAGTTGCTCCAGCAGTGCTAGTGACTCTCCTTTGGGAGATGTGAAGTCATATCAAATATTTATCGAAAATATATCATAAGCAGCGGTATCCATCGTAACCAGTCCGAACCAATGACTAAGGCTTCACACTCAATTCTAGCAACCAAACACTTCGTGTTTATGCTTCGGTTGTGACAAAATCCCACGTAGGTTTTACCCGACAAATGACACCAAGCGGCCACCAACCGGTCATTGTGTTTTGGGTTCACCTCAAATTCTGACATGAATGGATTTATTCATCTTGGCCTCGGCGCAATCACAGTTTTTTTTTTTAAAGAGCTACATCCGAAAGGCGGTGTTTAATTTAGGATTTAGGGTGTTGCCTGCCACTGCAAGACGCGCTCGTCCAAGCGTGTGTCAATTCTATGTAAGCGGGTGTCTGCAAGATGTTCGCTGAACCGATGCTTGATACCATGCCTTCATCGCTTACGGGGAACGGGGCGGTGGCGGTCACAGGTGATCCCACCGAGATGGCTCTGAGCGAAGTTAATGATTTTATTACGATCAACCCGCCCCTCGCAAACCCCACCATCCGCCAGTTAAAACCGAATTTAATATTGTCACTGGAGAAGGCACCGAAGTTTGTTATGACTAAGCACGTGAGACCCATGATGCTCCGTTCTATTGAGGCGGGAACTGAGCTGCTCTCTATGGCTTGCAATGGAATGGCTATGTGGCAGCAAAGAAACGGGTGGCAATTGCCTATCTCAGCAAATCGCTTGTTTCTGAACTTATACCAGCCACAAGGGACGGCAAGATGGGCAACAAAAGCAGCAAAAATAGCTCGACCACACACATGCCACGATGCCACGTCCGTTCTTTCCTGAACCAGACACTTGTCAGCCACCTGTGGAGTCTCGTGAAGTGGAGAGAAAAATTGAGACGATGAAATGTAAAATTATCGCTCTTTACCGAGGTTCTACGAAAGAAAATGCAGCCAACGCCTTACTTTAAAGGTACGCAAACTGCCTAACTCAAAGGACAACACCGTCAATGTGAAGCCATCTGGCTAATTCAAAAGCCTAATGGTCGTGAGGAAGGCGGAATCCGTTCTTAAAGCTGAGAGTATTGTCGGTACCTGCCAAAAAGTAGAGAGCAATCTCACACCGGAACTGGAAGACAAGACAAAAATCTAACTCAAGAAACCATCCTGAAAGACAAAATCGATGAGGCTCACCTGCAACGTCTCCTCCCACGGCACGCTTCAACAGCATGCTGTTTGAACGGAGTTTTACAGAGTACCCAACATCAAGAAACCAGGCAAAGCGTTCAGCCCCATTATATCCGCTTGTGGTGGCCTGCTCGATTAGCTTTCTTTGTCCTTGTCATGTGTCCTATTTTGTCTTTTGCTACAGCCCACGTTCCTAATACTGAGTCTTGCCTAGTAGAAATCAAGAAATTGTCTTCCACCATACTTCCCGGTAATAGCATTGTATTCTGCCTAGACTTTTGTAACCGGTATGGAAGAATATTTCCTTGCTGGAACTTCTTTCTTAATGCAACCTATCCCTATTTAGTGGCCTTACATGCAGTAACGAACTTACTTGAGGCGAATATAAATAAGACTCTTATTTCGCACTTGGGTCAGTGACATCCGCACCCACATATAAAGAGCATCCTACGTTTTGTAATGTTTGCTGATCGCTGCATCAGACGCGCACGATTTGATTCGTAATGCCACTTGTCATGAAATCCTTCTGAATAGCGCATAATTTCGATTTGAAGCAGCCGCATCTGCAGGAGATGTTTCATTTGGTTCCCTGCCCACAATTGATAAAATAATAGGTTTCTTTTGCCTTGCTTCTTCCCTCGAGTGAGGTCCGTATTGTTTGTAACACACTACTTTGTTGAAGTGTGTTTATGCAATAAATGCTACAATAGCTTGATGCATTCTGTCTAGACAAAAAAGGTATACGAACAGGAAGCCATTAATCCGCGAACTCAACAAAACGCTATCCTATGGCCCTGGTTTCTCCCCTCTGGCATTTACCACAGAGGTTTTTTTCGAGACGCACTTGGGCTTTGGAACTGGAGGTATCACATGGTCTGTAGTGACGCACTGGCTCAAACTTCAGCCAGTGCGCTTCGCGGTAATAGGCCCTTGCCGCCCGCGAGGCTAATCACAAACGTTCTCTTACTCCACCAGTAGAGGTGCGCGCGGCGATTGTCAAGACGACGGTGGTCGTGACTGCGAGGAAGAAGCTAGTGTTGTTACAAAGGATTGACTGCGTAATTTGGACTCGGAAATAATCAAATTGGTATCCTTATCATGTCTTGACGGTGCTGCACGGGCACTGAGATATAACTGGTCCTGAGGTTTCGCTGGAGTATGCTTTTTGAAACATGCCCCAAGGTTGGGACACTCTTTATCCCACGTCTTGACTCATAATGATGTGCGTTTCCGCTCAAACATCCACAGGTAAAGTTCCGGCATTGCCATGGGTAGCAAAGGTAGCCCCATACGTGGTTAAAGCATTCATGCATGCATCGAGACGGGATCTATGTCGAATTCGAAGTCCATACCTGCATTGCACGTTCGGTATATTGATGATATTTTTCGAGTATGAACACAGAGCTCTGACCAGCTAACACATTTCTTAAATATGGTAAATTCTCGCAAGCCCGCTGTCCGACTGGCCATGGAACATGTGTATGAAATATTGCGTAGACCAGCGCCTGGTACTTAACTCACTGCCCGCTACCCCGACTGTCTAACCCTCGGGAGAGTACACTACTGACCTTTTTCTAGCCAATGTCAGCTCCCATTAGCCTCCACTTCAACTCAGCCCATCCAAGTGAACACGAAAAGAGCTCTCCTCCATCCACCGATGACACGTGCACCCCGGCTATCGTCGGAGAACTCGGCCGTTGACTCGGCCTCGGACGCGTGACGGAATATTCTACAAAAACGGCCATTCAAAGCGGCACCATCAGTTCCGTGCATCCCTCTAAAAACTCCCAGGGCCGCAGACCAGGACCACCAGCTGGTGTGTATGTGCCTGCCATGTGTCAATATGGCGGACGCAAAAACGGTAACGGTGTCAAACGGTAACGGTGTCAAACGGTAGATCAGCGGGCAAACGGTCCTCCGAACGACGTACCACTTCAGCCTTCCATATCAGGAGGGCTAAACCACAGATCAGGGTGGCTTGGGTCAGTGGGCCCACATTGAAACAAAACCTGGTAAACCGTCCCGCCTAGCGGGCCTCCAGCGCTGCCGTACCTGTGACTGATATATCTCGTAAATGTCTTTCAAAAAGTAGCATGCAAACTCACATGCAGGCCTTCCGACACCAAACGGTGAGTTGTCTTACTTGAGCGAGAGCAAAACGACCTAATGTTGAACATGAGTACTCGGCTGATGGTGGCCACGAAGAACGGCTCCCAGCTCGCGAACGTCTGCGGTTCCCGTTGTGCATGCGCTGCCACCCGGCTGCCGTGGGGCTCGGAGGTAGTGCCGAGACAGACGACCCCGGCGCCACGGTCCGGCGCCGAGCCGCCGTACGGCCACCGGCGGAGCCCGCTACTGCACCTGTCCGAGACAGGCGACCGCGCCGGCACGGTCCGGCGCCGAGCCGCCGTACGGCCACCGGCGGAGCCCGCTACTGCACCTGTCCGAGACAGGCGACCGCGCCGGCACGGTCCGGCGCCGAGCCGCCGTACGGCCACCGGCGGAGCCCGCTACTGCACCTGTCCGAGACAGGCGGCCGCGTCGCCATGGTCCGGCGCACCAGCCGTGCGTGCCGCCAGTGGCGGGCGCGAGGCGGCTACCGCACAGAAACGGTACGTCTTTTTCACCGTCTGTATTTATGGTACTTCGTTCCAAGGCGAGGTAAGACATACGCACCAACAGCAACAGGGAAATGTGACGCATAACGAATGAAACCACGGTAGCAAAAAGCCTGAACCAAAACAATGTGCTTAGAAATTATAAGCAAACACAGAGCCACGCCTCGACCTGACCCGACCACGAATCAGATAAATATTACACTCATTATTGTGATAACTTGACTGGTAACAAAAAAATAACTCGACCGGCAACAGAGAAACAAACAGCTTAGTGCCATTAAAGGAAAACAAAAAGGTCCGCCGCACGGAGACCGACATGAGCTATGCAACACTTCCCCCTTGAATTGTGAGTATTCTTAGCTCACACTGAGCCCGCGCAAGCTGCAGTCGCACCCCGAAGCATTGCATGTTCATAGTCCGACTTACGCGCATCCACGCTCAAAATCCGCTACAATGCTGGACCCATTCAGGGGAGCACAGCGGTTCAAGATGAAACCTTCGCATCACGTGAGGTGAAAAGGCTCGGATGAGACGAGTCGCTGCCTTCATCGGACAAGTCCCTCTTCCGAGAAAGGCAAGGATAGCGCGGAAGGCGCTTGGCGGCCGCAACGCAGATACAACGCTAACAACCTTCAGCAAGACACCTTGCACAAATTGCGAAAAACCAGTGTCACACCCTATGTAACAAGACGTACCTATTCAGGATTCGCCAGGAAAACGGTGCGATCCAAGGCACTGGAAATCATGCAACCCGGGTACGTTTCTGTTACCGCAATTGCGACCGACCGCTTGCTGATACTGCGTGGTTCTATGCGCCACAGATGTACACCTCTGAAGTACGCCACTCTCGCCGCGATGAGCGAACATTGCGGCGATGTTCGCTCAGACTGGCCGGGACTTCTACGTCACGCTATGCGACCTTCCCTTGTTCTTCTATCACGATGGAGAAAACGTGATGCGGCAGCGTCAATGTAAAATGTTCAGCGTATTAGCCGCTCTATGGAAGCTGTGCAGAAATTAATAAACTTCGGTGAGTACCCCACTGCATAACCTTCCACATCCATAGGCCAATGTTAGCTACGGGACGGGGGTGGGGGTGGGGAACGGGACAATCGCGAAAGGGCACGGTACTTGCCAACTTGCGACGCACCGAACAAATCAGATAGCACAGATTCGGATACATTGCGGTTATCTTCAACACCGCACAATATTCTCACCGCAGTGTGGGTCGCCTGAATGGAAGCTATGAAAACTTGTTCAGCAACTCAGCGGATCCAAGAAAATACGCGCGGCTGAATCTCAATATACAAAATGGTGAGTTTTCCAAACTGTTTACCCACATTGCATGCGCATACAATAACGATACAACAAACGTCGGAACACAGTGAAGATAGGTTAAGCAAACTGGACCGCAAGTTCATTTCCCGCAGTGTCAACAGTCTCAGCATGAGCAACAAAGCCCAAACTCACAGCACGTACGGACGGATTGAGTACTGCCGCCAGCGCGCTGGACAGCCCGGCGGTCACCCGCTGCTGTCAGCGGCACACGCCATCTTCTGGCGTCCTCACTGTTCCGCCTCACGAGACTGCCGATTACTGCGCTTCCTTTTGTTCCGCATCTTCGACAGCTTGTCGTACGCCAAGTTGATCTCCATGAACCTTTTCTCGGCGTTTGCTTTCTCCGCGGAGTCAGTAAACCTGGAATGAATGCTCGTCAATAGGCTACAATAAAGAGCTCGGGATTAGATACAATAGCTGAAATACACAGCGTTCATTTACAACATATTCTGTGGATTTAGCCAAGTTGTTCAGTGTTGTTGCGGTAACACACACGCACGTAATACACACGCTGCGATGACACGCACGCATGCAATACACATAACACCTCCAGTCCGCAGGCGCTGGCATGCGCCGACTGACCGGTCTGGATGCTGGGCCTTGGTCAGCTCCCGGTATCGGGCCGTGATCTCCTCCTGGCTGGCGACCTTGGGCAGCCCCAGCACCTGGTGACGGGCGGAGGTGGGGCGTCAGGAGGCGCGGCTGCTGCGGCCAACACACTACACCCCGGCCGGGCGTCGGCAGCGGACGCCGCCGCTGTGCGCTGCCACCCCGCAGATGATCAAAAGGACTTCTTCGTTACACAACAATCCGGACATTAGGAAGTTAGAAGTCCCACGCGACAGGTCGAGTCATGTTTGGTAAGATACGATTCGAAACAAACGAAAATGGACATCTGAGGTGTCACAGGACGCACAACCCCCGTCTCGCCGCCTCCGGGTCTTCCCTGCGCGGTCTTGACATCCCCAACCTTGCCGAGAGGCGCCGTACGTACCTCTAACGCGGCGTACTCTCCGGACGGGTCGATGCTCTCGATGAACGAGTACCATCCCTTGGACCAGCCCTGCTCCTGCGTCAGTCGGAACAGCCGCACAATCTCGTCCTGAAACGCGGAGGCCAGCGTGCTGAGCCCGCACCGCTGATTCGCAGACGGCGACGGGGGCGTCGGAGGGATCGAGCCGAGCACGTGACGACATTTCAAGATCGCATAGCGTATACATCTGGATCCGAGACCGGTCGCCTTTGGCCTCTGTCTTTCCCACTTATTGACGAAAAAGAATACCAGCAGAGATAACCAGTTCATAGTTCTCAGGCCTATGCCGTGCAGAATCTGAAGGCATAAGTTTAGGGTCCGCTTTATGCGGTGACACCACCTATCCACAGCGCCAAGGCCACCGAGACTCAGCAGTCCAGCTCATGCGCCCACCTTCATGCGTTTCCAGAGCTGCGACTTGAAGAAGTTGCCGACAGCGTCGCGAAACTTTGTCTTCTCGCCGTGGCGGTCCACGACGGCGGCATTGAAGAAGAAGTAGCTGGCCCAGACGGAGTAGAAGAGCAAGAGACAGAGCAGCAGCACGCCGGCCCGCCTGACGACGGACCGCAGAATGTGCCCCAGGTCAGGTGGTGAAAACGCCAACCGCCAGGGCCGGCGTCACGTTCAACAGAGACCTCAAGTACCGCGACACGAGCGAGTTGGCACTCCTCGGCCCGGCTTGGTGCATCGGAGACGCGCTTTGGGCAACCCAACGATTCTTGCGGGCACGTCTGTCAAAATCCCGTGAGGAACAGACACCCTCAGACATCTGCCAGTCTGCCGGGCCGCACATCACACCCACCAGCCCTGAACCAGCCCAATGCCTGAACCCCGGGGGGTACAGCGTTCAGCACTACAGTCTTCGATTCCCCAAGTACCATGTCGACGCCTCTCATCGGCAAAATGTCTCGCACCCCCCCCCCCCCCCTCAACGTCCACCGCACGTGGGTGCGCCCACCGCCTGCCCTCATCGGCATCACGTTCGTCACTCCGTCCTCGGAGGAAGGGGGGGGGGGGGCGAGGCAGCCCCGCCCTCACCTGCAGACGGGCCGGGGCTTGGCGGGCGTGCGCCGCCACTCCTTGGCGCCGTACTCGAAGGCGACCACACTGGCCAGCGCCGTGTAGTGGACCACCTGCAGACTCCAGGCGTACAGCGGCAGCGTGAGGTAGGCGGCGATCAGTGGCCAGCGCAGTGAGCCCTGACACCGGCCCACGTTACCGACCGTGTGCACCGCTGGGGAGAGAAGAGGAGGAGAGGTCAGGGCGGGCCGGCACGGCGACCGGGTACTGGTCGCTTTACGTGAGAGGCGGCTGCCCACCGTGTGTACCGCTGAGCAGACGAGGAGAGGGTAGGTCATTGAGGCCTTAGGTGCCCCTTGGTGCCCGCCAACGTGCCAACAAGAACCACTGACATAACGCCGCAGTCGAAGGCAGCATTCACGCATGTTGCCAACCTCGATGAGTGCTCTGCTGTAAATGACTGCTGACATTAGCCCACCGCGTCCAAAACCGTCAGCCCGCATCTGGTCACGACCAGCGTGTCGACTGACGTCACGTGTCCCCACCGGCGGCCCGAGCCGGCGCCACGCCGGCAGCCGATGACGTACCGACGGCGGTGGCGGCCGGCGTCACCAGGTACACCAGCCAGCGCACACCGAACTGGTCCTCCTCCGGCACCGCCGCCATGGCAGTGTAGCCCCAGGAGATGCCCAGCAGGAGCTGGGCCGAGCAGCGCGTCAGGCTGATCGGCGGCTGTCGGCGAGAGAGCGAGCGATGGTCAGGCTCGGTGAGGGTCACGGCGGCTGTCGGAGAGGGAGCGAGCGATGGTCAGGCTCGGTGAGGGTCACGGCGGCTGTCGGAGAAGAGAGAACGGGCGGCGGTCAGGCTCGGTGGGGTCACGGCGGCTGTGGGAGAGAGAACGGGCGGCGGTCAGGCTCGGTGAGGGTCACGGCGGCTGTCGGGGAGAAGAGCGAGCGAGGTCAGGCTCGGTGAGGGTCACGGCGGCTGTCGGAGAGAGAGAACGGGCGGCGGTCAGGCTCGGTGAGGGTCACGGCGGCTGTCGGGGAGAGAGAACGGGCGGCGGTCGGCGGGAGGGACGGCGGCGGCGGGGGGGGGGCGGCGGTCAGGCTCGGTGAGGGGTCACGGCGGCTGTCGGGGAGAGAGCGAGCGATGTCAGGCTCGGTGAGGGTCACGGCGGCTGTCGGAGAGAGAGAACGGCGGGCGGGTTAGGCTCGGTGAGGGTCACGGCGGCTGTCGGAGAGAGAGCGAGCGATGGTCAGGCTCGGTGAGGGTCACGGCGGCTGTCGGAGAGAGAGAGGGCGGCGGTCAGGCTCGGTGAGGGTCACGGCGGCTGTCGGGGAGAGAGCGAGCGATGGTCAGGCTCGGTGAGGGTCACGGCGGCTGTCGGAGAGAGAGAACGGGCGGCGGTTAGGCTCGGTGAGGGTCACGGCGGCTGTCGGGGAGAGAGCGAGCGATGGTCAGGCTCGGTGAGGGTCACGGCGGCTGTCGGAGAGAGAGAACGGGCGGCGGTCAGGCTCGGTGAGGGTCACGGCGGCTGTCGGGGAGAGAGAACGGGCGGGTTAGGTGTCGGTGACGGGTCATGGGGTCGGTGGACGGTCATGGGTCGGTGACGGTCATGTGTCGGTGAGGGTCATGGGTCGGTGAGGGTCATGGGTTGCCAGGCTGACCGACAGAGGGCCGTCAGGAGACAGAGGACGGGCGGCGGTCAGGCTCGCTGGGGGTCACGGGGTGGCAGGCTGACCGGCGGCTGTCAGAGAGAGAGCAAGCAAGCGCATGTGTAACAGACTTACCGGCGGTTGTCAGAGAGAGAGAGCAAGCAAGCGCATGTGTAACAGACTTTATAAAAAGACAGACAACCCCCTTTTGCACCAACTTCTGAACTGACTTACCAACTTCACTTATAGTTTCCAAGGAATTGTGATTCATTTGTATGTTCTATTGCCATGGTTGTCACACTGTAATCACCAATGCATGCATCACCATTCAACATCACACGTGAGAAATGTTCAGCCAACAGTCAACTCATTTCACTACCGTTATCCAAATACTCAAGATTCCTCACACGCTTGTGCCGTTTGAACTTTCGGGCGAGGTCACCGATGTAATCCGGATCATTGTTGGCGTCATCCACGTAGCTCGGTATTCTGGTCACATCGCTGAGCCAACCATACAGCAGACCTCCGAACGTCACGAGCCTGACAATAGCTGGATGTGAATTGTGCCATGGGCAAACTTGATTGACACACTTATAACACTAGAGATCCGTTTCCTACTAATTGATTTATGTAACAGCACAAAAGAACAAGTTTGCAGGTAACATTTCACACCCAGTAATACAAAAATGTGGAAATGAAGCAGCAAATCAACTCACAGCAGTGACCTACCACTACAAAACAATGCCGCAAAAGAGACCTGATCATTTAGATACACTGCTGGACTCGACACAAAAATACCATCAATGAGTACATTGAATATATTGCTTCAGACACAAACTTAATACAAAATGGTACTTTAACATCCACTTACCATAAGAATGCTTGCCTATCCCTGCCCAAATAGAAGTGATGTGCACCAAAAACGCCAAGCGAGGCCCAGAGCAGGTATGCCACACAGTTGCTCTTGGCCATATTTGCTGTGAAAGAAAATGATTCTTTGGTAGCACCCCACATCAACAAAATTCTTTAACATCTGATTGAATAAATGAGGTGAAATTGTGTGATATCAGGGACCATGTGAAATACAACTGCTGCATCCTCAAGTGCCACATTCTCCCACAATATTGTATGCCATGTATGACATATCCTATGCATGCTAATTTGCAACAACTGTAAAATAGCATTGGCCATGCATCCTAGATTCAATTTTTCCTTAAAGACAACACAAACTATTTAAAGGTATGTTTTTTTAGATCAAAGCTCACACTAAGCAGTGCTTGTTATGTGAGCCCTGGCCTGTACCACCCCATCCATATCATGCAATGCCAGGTCAACTGCAGAATTTGGAGGTGAAGGTCGAACATACTGCAATGTTTGACACCATTCATACTGCCAACTGATGTCACCTGACCTTAAGCCTGGTCACTCCCACGGACCATGGCCACTACCAGTCACATGGCCACTGCTTAAGTGCCTTGAATCCACCCACCCCATGACATGAAGGTGGAAGGCTCTCTAACCAACTGGGCTATCAGAAGTGACTAAAGCATCTTACTCCAACCCACCCAACCCACCCATCACACCAAAGGTGGGTGTATCTCTTACTAATTGAACTATTGGGATGATGAGCCTTCATTGCTCCAGCTGCACAGCTCTGCTCCAGGCACCTGCCCTCCCCCTGAGGTCACAACACTTACAGATCTGAACCTCTCAGACATAATGGAATGGGACATTCAACCACCTACACTTACATGGACCTGTGAAGAGCAAAGGGCCCCTCCCTCAAATCCCTGGAATCAACAGGCCAGACTGCAAAAATCATATGTTACACAGAACAGTGCAGCTACATACATTTCCATTACAGCTACAGCTACAGCTACAGCTACAGCTACAGCTACAGCTACAGCTACATCTCCATCCATGTTTTGCCACCATGTATGCACACCATCGCCACATATGTACACAGTTGTTAATCCCGGTGCTCTTGGCTCTTGAAGCTCAGGGCACTGCGCCAGCAACTTCAGTGCATAGAGCTGGTATTTCAAGAAACTATTATGCTGAGAAGGAAATCTTACACAAAATTATCCTAAAACATTTCTTTTGAATTGAAGAAAGTTGAAAACTCAGTGCAGTATGCCCTAGACTGAGTTCAGAGTACAGAAACAAAATGTTCAGCTTCAGTATACCTGCACACAACCAGTCTGATGCAGTGGATATATTTTTGTAGGCTAGCCAATAGGCTGACTGATCATTTAAACTGTACTTGATGGCCCTAAGCCTTGTGACTGAAAAAGCATGTCCAGGGCCAGATCTCTCAGTCACATTTAAAATCCATCATCTTTTTATGGCAGGAAACAATGGTGAGTCCCCTCCTATTTCCAGTTAAAGAGTGATTGAGCCCCGCAAAAAAACAGCATACTGGCATCAGCAAGATCTCACAACTGATTTAAAGGGGATGCCCATGAGCCACTTACCTATCTTAAATGACTTCAAATGACTATCTTAAATGACTTCAAAGCCCACCCTTCTAATGATTCTGCACTGGCTACACTTCCTCACCCCCCCCCCCCCTTTCCCCTCTGCTCATCTCGTGGCAGGTGTAATGACCCCAAATGTAACATTCCTACCAGCGCTACCCTGCGAGCCCCTGCCCTTACATGTTAAGCTTCTGTTATGCCCTGTCAGCCATCCCAATGGTAAACATAACATGTTTGACGTTCCTCTAGTTTTGTGTTCCTATGTGAATAACTGAACCCACTAGATACATCAATGGTCGTGCGCTGGGCCCCCCTATGGTGGGCTTTATAAGTCATCTAGAGAACATACCTTCCCACCTACCAATCAGAAACCATAGTAAAACGGCTACAAACCCTCGTGTGCACTACCCGGCGCTGGACTCAACGAGAACTAACCTTCCTTTTGCCATAGGCAATACGTATTTGAAACTGGAACGCCGTTATTGCCAAAAATCAGGTTTACGCCGTCAGTGCGGGCAAATATTTGCGATATGAAGAATAGTCATACCATGCCTGGTGGAATGCTGCACTTTGTTGCAAACAAGCGCTAGATTCAATGGCGAAAAGCAATGTTTGTCGCAAATATAGCTATTTTACGCAAGCTTGAATATTTACTGCGCTTTTGTGAACTGCCTTTTCAACACTTTTACCAAAGTTATTGCACCATTTCCTAAAATATTTTCTCTGGCAGCCAGTTTTCGAAGTTGATGCCGCGTTGGGACAGGCCGAAGCCAAAGCCCGGCTGAGCGGACACAGATGCAGAGGAGGCAGCATATGTGCAATTTTGTAAGTCAGTGGACGACTTGGCTTGATGGAGAAGTCAACGTGCAGAGAAAATCGAAGCGAAATTCAGCACGCAATTTTTTGCAGAAGTGATGCGACTGTACAGTGTATATGCATTTGAAGTGCTTAGGTGCTTTCACATGTGCCTGATGCTATTGCTTTCATGGCATGGGTCATTTCGGGACTGAGTGTTCATGCCCCTGACTCCTAGATGCTGATGACTTAATTATTGGGAGCTCGTAATAACGTTTTTCCTTCTAGGTTAGCATAGGTTGTATGACTGTCGTCATTGTGTATTTTAAGGTTGTAGTATTTGGGCTTCGTTGTAAAAAGGGTAAGCTTAATCTCAGTCCAAACTAAGAGCAATGAATGATTAAACAAATTACTAAATAGTGTGCTGCATGATTGGTTTGTAGGATATCCCTTTTGCCAGACTGCCGAGATGCTCCTATTGCTATTAGCATATTTATCATGCAACCACTTATACCAAACAGCACAGCAGTACAGTCTGAAGAAAACATGTTTTCATCATCTTAGGAGTTAGAAGTATCACCTAATCTTGGAATAGGCTGCTGTGCTGTGACTGAAAAAATGGTCACAATCCATTATTCAAACCCAGAGTTGAAGTTTAGTGGGAAGATGGATGTAATGCATGAGAATCATGGATTTATTATTTGTTCAGATTATCATCCTCATCTGGTATTTTAACATGTACCCCTGTACCCCTTCCAAAGTGTCCATAACTGCATACCTCCTAAAGCACCATATGGGGATAATGTCTGGAGATTTATTCCATTTTAGTATGTGCACCTGTGCCCTGCCCCCCCCCCCCCCCTCCCTCCCCTTCCATAACGTGCACACTAACACACTAGACACAACCTGTGGTGTAACCAATCATTCCAGCTCTGGAAATGAAGTAATGCAGTGTTTTCTACTACCCAAATAACTTTGTCCCTTTACAGTGATTTTTAAGCTTCTTGAATCCTCTTGGAGACTTACATTTCCATTAGCACCACACAGCTTGTCATCTAAAATATTTGAACATGCTGTTGATATTGAAAACTCAGTGAAGCAGATGTGACATGTTCTACTGGAAAATAGGGGTCAACTGCTGTTGAACTGGAAGTAATCAATGATGACTATTTTTGCAGTGGGGTGGCTTCAGAATATAAAACAATGGCTGAAGAATAGCATAAATGATGTCTGCTGGGCTTCTGTAAACTTCCCTGACCTGAATAATGGATATAGTTGAAAGCTTCTATGGTGTATACCTACTATACTGCCAGAACCCTCGCTTCAAGGGCCGCACCTACATCGGCTATACGACCGACCCCAACCGGCGGATCAAGCAGCACAACAAGGGCCGGCATGCAGGCGGCGCCGGCCGCACCAGCAACCGCGGTCCATGGGAGATGGCGCTCATCGTGCACGGATTTCCCAACAGCATCGCCGCGTTGCGCTTCGAGTGGGCGTGGCAGAACCCGGCCCGCTCGCGCCGGCTGCGCCACGTGCCGGCCAAGCGGGCGCGCGAGGTCAAGTTCGACTACTGCCTGCGCGTGATGGCGGCCATGCTGCAGGCGGGCCCGTGGCGGCGGCTGCCGCTGACCGTACGCTGGCTGCGGCCCGAGTACCGGCGCCCGCTGCCCGCCGACTGCCTGCCGCCGCCGCACATGCCCGTCGTCCAGGGCGCCGTGCGGCCGGCCAAGGCCAAGGAGCGGACGGCGGCGGACGGCGAGCGGCTGGAGTGCGCGCTGTGCGGCGCCGGCGTGCCCGCCGCCGACGCGCTGACCTGTCTCAGCCCGCGGTGTCCGCTGGTGGCGCACCTCGTCTGCCTGGCCGACGAGCTGCTGCGTGGCTCCGCCTGCCTGCTGCCCGTGGAGGGCGCGTGTCCTGCCTGCGGCACGTCCCTCCTGTGGGGGGACCTGATCCGGAAGAAGAATGGCTGCTATGATTATCTGGACAGTGATGGGGCCGCCGGCGAGAGCGGAGAACATTGGGCAGACTGTCTTAGTCAGGAGTGTCCGGACTTGGAACATTGACATTGCATGATATTTAAGTAGACGAATTTATGCGTGTCATTTTATAATGTATGCCATACGCTTTTGTCATATGTCCTGTATGCTCAGTGGAGGTCAGTCCGCTTTGGCCTCAACACACCTTATCTCTTCTACTGGATGCGTTACTTTGTTCCGGGTGTGCATTTATTTTAAATTGCAACATTTGTCATCTAGCAGTGTATGTAAAGAATGCTCCCGAAATGTAACAAAACTAAACTAGTGCTGAGGCCCCTGATTATTTGTTTTGGAGGGGGAGGGGGGGGGGAAGAAGAGAATGCTTCCGAACTGTCTCCTCTGGATAATAACTATTTTGTCGTGCTCGTGTTGTATGGCGTGGGGCTTTATCAATGGTGTTGATTCAGTGTACTGTTTTGGAAATAAATCGATACCTTCACAGTGGTATATCCAATTCTCATGAGCGTTAGCCAAAAGCGGAGATTTTACGGATCTAGTTCCCTTTGTTTTAATGCTTGCGCGGGCTTTGTGGTGTTGTGGGTCAGATATGGATGGGCGGCCAAAAAACAGAGGGAGGGAGACCCCTGGCTATCTAGGGAGACCCAAGGCTACAGAGAGACACTAAACTGAGGCAAAACGTGGCCTGCTGTTGGGGAGGGAGAACCTGCTCAACATACGTACGTACGAAACATACATGGCTTGACACTCGTGCTGACTATGCAGGTAGGTAGGGACCGAGCACTGCTGGCTGCGCACACAGGTACGGACCGAGTACGGGGTTCTGTACTGCAGCAGACAGCAGGCTGGCCACGCTCGCCACTCGGACTAACGACGGAGGCACAACCACGGGGCACAAGGTCATTTGAGATCAAAGCGCTTTGTGGTGGCTTTGAGCTTACGGCTACCACGCGCATCATCATCGTCATCATCATCGTTAAGTTTTACGCGATCTGCTCGCTGAATGAATACAGGTGCCACTGACGGTTTGTTCGTTTGGGACTGGGTGCGAAGACACCCCGATGTACATGCCGCCACATTGCGAATTAGTCTGGTAAGCATACCTTTCACTTTTCATACCATTTCATGTTTAAAGTTCGCCGCATGAGCTTGCAAAACACAATCATATTCGCCATAAATGTATCCGTTACCAGCCCGTTGGTGGTATGCACCTAATGCAAGCGACTTTCTTATTTTCTGTACGAATATTTCGATGTTCTGGTTGACAGCGCCACAGGGGCGGGGGGGGGGGGCAAAGCGGAGACCTGCCTCCCCTCCCCTTCCCCCCCCCCCCCCCCCCAACTGCGAGCTGGGGCCTGGCGGGTGGCCGAACTAAAGGTTTTACTCAGTCTGTTCCGGGACTGTCTCAGGCTATTCAAAGACCTTCTTAGACCACGTGCGGCCCCTTTTAGTTTGAATGAGGGACCTGTCGTGTTAGAACAGCCTGTTAACCTCTGATGAAGGTATTCTTGGACTGGCGGCTGACTGGGGCCCTCAGGACGGTGGAGCGGCTCCTAGGCCCAGCCGGGCAGCGGCGGATCCTGAGGGGACACGGAGTCATGCCACTTTGTCCATGGACTCATAAGCGTTGAAGGGCCTACCGGACCCTGTCCGGCGGTTCACCGGGCCCGCCACCACTAGGCCCTCGGCTCCACCATCGGACCCCACCACCACCACCGGGTCCCTGTCCGGCGGTTCTGGAGGCCCCAGAGCACCCGAAGGATCGCACAGGGGCACTGTGTCACCCAAACAGCCATGGCCCAATTAGGTAACTAAGGGTCTCCTCCGCGCGACCGGGAGATATCTAACCACGACCGAGATCCATTGGGTCGAGCCAGGGGTCCTAGGGCTAACTGCTACCTTAGGACTAGCCAAGATTTTCTCAGTTCGAACGGGGACCCGTTGGTCAGACCGAACGAAATCCTTCTGGATCGGGGTAAAGACTATTGTCAGGCTGACCGAGGGCCTCTCTTCTCAGACCAACTGAGGGGTGAGGGCCCTACACCTTAACCGAGGACCTTTCCACCTGACCTGACCAGCCTTCAGGCGGTCGATGTCGTGGTCGCGAGGTTGAATTCACACATCCCCGAGTGTTCCTTGGTGGACACGCGTCACAAGGGGAACTTCGACAGACATTTGCCTGTCGCGGTGTCATGGATCAGCCTGCCGTGATGTGTGACTGATGCAGTGTTACGTCAGTAGATTCTTCAACACTGGATGGGAGTTGCATGGATGCAAGCGGGAGTAGAATGCGATGTTGGCTGAAAATTGCTTTCAAATCGGACATTCACCTCGGTGTTTTGTGAACCTGGTGCTTTTTGTGTCTCATCGCATGCATCTATCGTCTGGGTCGTTGAAACCAAATAAGATTCTCAATGTAACTGGACCGAGCTTAAAATACGGCTGCAATGCTTAATACGCATTATTTTGAGTTCGGTTATAAGCGAGTGGTTATACGTGCGGAAACGAGAACAACAGAAACAACATAGGTGTAGACTTTGTAATATTGCAATCCGTAGCAGGCACGTTTTTGCCAAGGGCCCATTTTCTGCAAAAGCTGCCCTCCCCCGAACCAAAAATCCTCGGCGCTGGCCCGTCCGTTGCCCCTCAGCATTGCACTGGGCGTCTAGCAACCCGCCGTGAATCAAAGTCTTGGCGCTAGTGGCGTCACGCTGAAGTTGAAAATCACGGATGATAAAGACAATGAAACGAAAATCATCGTACTGTTTTACCTCTATGCGTCCTTAAGTGGGCAGACTTGGTAGAAGAACCCTTTCCTAAATCTTTGTAAGGTTCATTCACTTGCTATTGTATCATGACACAATAAATTTATAATCTAAGTGACATATGAAGTTTCAAATGTTGTTGGCGTCACCTTATTTTTTCGAGCACGCTCCTGTCGGCATCGATGCGCCCGAGCATGCACATGCATGCATCATTTAGTCGCCCCGTGTTAGACCGATACACTCCCAAACCTGCGCAGATGAGTCAAAA